TTCTCTTGTCACACACTTCAGACATTTATTCTAAAAGACGAATGTTCAGCAGTGGCCCAGATGCTAAATAGATTAAATGAACTGAGGAAAACCAGAAAACCTTAGCGCAGCTCTGGCGGCTTGTCGATGTACTAAAAGAAGTGCAGATCTTACGTTCATTGATCTTCCTGGTTCATTTGAGGATATGATTTCAATGGGGGTAGTTTAAATTCCAATTGATTTTCACTGTGATGAGCAATTTGTAACATAAAGAACCATATATTAAATAAAAGATCTTTGGGAAGATGTGTTGCTGATGCAAATACATAATACAGCTTCATTGTTTAGGCCTATTTTTTGGTTTTACAATCGAGTGAACTAACTTAGGATCTCACACTGGAGCAGAGACAGAGACAGTTTTCTATAAGCAATCATCTTTTTTTTTGTTGCTACAACACTACTGAAAGTAAATGCATCCATTCAACTAGACCAGCTAATGAGAATAAATGACCGGATGGGTCCACCTAGAAATGATAAACTGTGGCGATGATCATATACTCGAAATCTGTCTGAGGAAGACTGTGCTACTGGTTCATTTGAGGATATGATTTCAATGGGGGTAGTTTAAATTCCAATTGATTTTCACTGTGATGAGCAATTTGTAACATAAAGAACCATATATTAAATAAAAGATCTTTGGGAAGATGTGTTGCTGATGCAAATACATAATACAGCTTCATTGTTTAGGCCTATTTTTTGGTTTTACAATCGAGTGAACTAACTTAGGATCTCACACTGGAGCAGAGACAGAAACAGTTTTCTATAAGCAATCATCTTTTTTGTTGTTGCTACAACACTACTGAAAGTAAATGCATCCATTCAACTAGACCAGCTAATGAGAATAAATGACCGGATGGGTCCACCTAGAAATGATAAACTGTGGCGATGATCATATACTCGAAATCTGTCTGAGGAAGACTGCGCTATGACTGTACAAGCCAGCCTGTGATTATGTATAAATGAAAACATCTAATTAAGAAAAAATGAGGAAACGTAAGAAGGTGGTGTTTTTTCTACTCTTGTTTCCTCTCGAAATTACATTTAAAAATAACAAATTTAGAATTTTGATGATTTTGAGGTTATTTTGCACTCTTGCAAAATTAGTAGGAGATAACGAAGTACATTATCTCACTTCTGGGCTTTATCGCAGAATGATAAATAGTGAAGCAGTATGTGCTGCATAAAAAAGCCAATTGTATTTAAAGGGGTCATATGATGCGATTTAAATTTTTCCTTTCTCTTTGGAGTGTTACAAGCTCTTGGTGCATAAAGAAGATCTGTAAAGTTGCAAAGACTAAAGTCTCAAATCCAAAGAGACATTCTTTATAAAAGTTAAGAGTCAGCCACACCTACCTAACATGGCTCGTTCTAACACGAAAGTTAAGAGTCAGCCACACCTACCTAACACGGCTCGTTCTAACACTCCCCCACATACCCACGTCACTATCCGGGAAGATTTGCATAACGCCGCCCAAATGTTCACGCAAAGAAAGAAGGCGTAACTTTTATTCTCGCTGTAGTATTGTTGGCGCCGCCGCCATGTCGTGAAGGCGCTGTGTGCTTCGTTGTGAAAGCGAAACTACTTTGTTTGGCCTTCCAAAAGAGGACGATATCTGCTTCGTCATGCCTGGAGCTGATCCGTGCTGGTCGCTGAGGAAATACTTCAACTTCGCGCTGTCGATCGCCGGATCGGCTTTCACCGTGGACAAAGCGGAGTCCAGCCCGGGGTCGTCACATGAGTTTGCCGCAGGCATCACAATATGGTAAGGGACGTAACATTTCGGCCACACGCTTGAGGAATTCAGCCAATCACAATGCACTGGATAGCTGGCCAATCAGAGCACACCTCACTTTTTCAGACCGATGAGCTTTGTAAAAATCGACGCGTTTCAGAAAGGCGGGGCATAGAGAAGAAACAATAATGTACAGTATGTGGAAAATAATGTGTTTTTTGAACCTTAAACCGCATAAACACATTTCATTACACCAAATACACAAAATAATGTAATGAGGGTGAGTAAATAAGGACATAATTTTCATTTTTGTTAGAATTAAATCCTGAGGTTGACATCAGCATGGTCAAGCTGGTGCTTGGGTGGTCTAGCCAGAAGGGCAGTAAGGCCAGCAAACCAGCTCAGGCATTTTTCAAAAAAGACTGACATTTCAAAATGTTCCACTTTCAAAGGTGTTTTTTATGAATATTTACTGAGGTCTGTCAGATACAGCAGTCTAAGAGGAAGAGGAGGGTATATTCTGCTGATCCACTACCACAGCTCTCTAGTCCCGTAGGGTGGACTGGTGCCAAAAACGGAGACATGCACTCAAAAAGCACCTGTGAGGAGACAACGGGCTTTCCTACTGCAGAATTTCACAGCACAGTCAAAAGTGTTTTCAAGCGTGTGCAAAAAGCGACTCAGACCCTGTCAAACTGGTAAATGGAGAAAATGTATCATGGCAAGTGCTTGTTAAAACATACTGAACACAAACACACTTGTCGTTAAGGAGCAGGGTAAAGTGACATGAGGACAGATACAAATACAGATACTCTTATAAATGTTCATATAAATGTCACTATCTAAAATAGTAGCTCTATTTATGTTGTTGTATATATTGTTTTATCGTAAATAAGTATTTGATCAGTGTTGGTGAACATTAGCTCATTTAAAATCAATTTTCTCTATGCAGATCCAATTACTTTGCAGAAAAACAGATGTTTACTTTATGAAAATAAGAAGTAACATTATATAATTTTAGAATGTTATACACAGTAAATTTAGTCAATCTGGATATTGGCTTTCATTTAAACAACTTATAGAAGAGTTTTATCTAATAACAGGCAATTTCTGATCTAACCACAATCCACTCATTACTAAAATTAAAAATAAATAAATAAAATATATTTACATAAAATAAAATAAATAAGTCCCACTATGATGGTTAACTAAGTTCATTCAATATGAAGAGCACATTGTTTTTACAGAAAATACTTTTTATGCAAATTCTTTGCATATATTGAACTTGTTAGTATTTACAGTGAACACCCTATAGCAAAGCAGCAGCAATTGTCAAAGACACTCTAAATAGGTAACCCAAATGAGTGGCCACATCAACCAGTCAGAAAGCTCCTCTTCCTGGCACATCAGTGCATTTTGGGAATGGGCCAAGTGAGGGTGGAAGTGATGTCTCTGGCAATCTGACAACAGCCCAGGGCACTTCCTCTAAAAACCCATACAGCTCAAAATAGGTGGCTCTTCATCAGCCTGGCGTAGTTGCTTTCCCTCCGCTGGCTAGCAAAGTGCAAGTGTAGCATTTTCTGACAAATTCATCACAGGTAGGCTCAAATGGACATGCAGCTTAAGTTTGCACATACGATAAGTGCAGTTTTCTTGCCCAATGGGTTTTATACTGCTGAATGGCAGCGGTTGGCTCTGTTTGCGACTATTTAGCAGAAGACTAATGTGTATGTTATAGACTATAGCTATAATATGTAGTTTTAAAAAGTCCAGCAATACCTATGATTACAACAATACACACACAAACAATACACTCCGTCCATGGACAGACCATCATTGCCAGGGCAGGCCCTGAGTATTACAACACAATCATTTCAGACCGCAAACAGGAGGTCGCAGAGGATAAGTGATTGAAAAGGACCCAGTCCATCACCTTTGTGTTTGAGTATTTGTGAATCACAGCTGTCACTGCAGCGCACCTGAGATTAGAGTGATTGATGCATGGGGCTTTTTCACGCAAGGTCAGTGTATCTGAGTGAAAAGCTGAGGCCCTGGTCGAGCAGGGAGGGCTTCTGTGTGTATACGCGTGATTTGAGTGATTGACAATTGGAAATGATTGGTGAAGGCCTTCTGGACTGAGAAGTTTGACTGTTTGTTCTCATGGTAAATGACTGCAGGTGTTAAGCTGCTTCAAACCACTGTAAATCATTTCAAAAGAAAGATACTGTAGTACAATAGTCAGCTGTTCATAGGGTTAAATATTCCGTTATAAAATTGATAGCGATATAAACGTGGATACTGATAGGTCAATACAGCAGTTCTGCAATGTTAAAGCACACAATACGGTGAGTCAATTAATATATGTGACATGCTTTATCATTCTGAGTCAAAAGTCGCAATAAGCCGTTCGTGGAGAAAAAAAAATCTTATCTATCAAAATATTAAGTATAACATCTGCTTTCAACATTGATAATAATAAGAAACACTGAAGACTGGAGTAATTGCTGCTGAAAATTCGGCTTTGCCATAACAGGAATAATTTTTGAAATATATTCAAATCAAATTGTATATTTTTAAATTGTAATATTTCACAACATTACTGTTTTTACTGTATTTTTAATTAAATATATGCAGCCTTGGTGAGCATAAGATACTTTTTTCCAATATACTTTTGTTTGAATAAATCTCATAATTCTGCCTAAAAATAAAAACAGTCTGCAAATTGTTTGGAATATTTAGTGGCCCTTTTTTCAAAAGCAAGATTCATTTATAAATCATTATATCCAATTTGGAGTAGAAAAGTAACACTTGTATCATTAGAGAGCTGACACTTTTTCATTCAGTGTATAAAACACAATGTGTTTCTGGGTCTCGACAACTGTATTTTTAATTAAATATATGCAGCCTTGGTGAGCATAAGATACTTTTTTCCAATATACTTTTGTTTGAATAAATCTCATAATTCTGCCTAAAAATAAAAACAGTCTGCAAATTGTTTGGAATATTTAGTGGCCCTTTTTTCAAAAGCAAGTTTAAATCATTATATCCAATTTGGAGTAGAAAAGTAACACTTGTATCATTAGAGAGCTGACACTTTTTCATTCAGTGTATAAAACACAATGTGTTTCTGGGTCTCGACGACTGAACATTATGGAGCAGGTCACATATAGTCAATGAATAACATTACTAAGAAAGGAAGAGAGAAAAAAAGAAGAAGTTTCCTCCTACCAGTGAGTGTGTAAACTCAGGTGCGTGGTCGTTCCTGTCTGTGATGGTGATGGTGGCTGTTGCAGTTCCTGTCAGACCCACCTCACTTCCTGCCATGTCCTTCGCCACAATCTCTAGCTCATACTGTGTGGTTGGAAGAGTCTGTGGACACATAAGAACATGGTTGGGAACAGTCAGTAGAGCTTCAGGACAGAGGGAGTACAGTCGTGATAAGAGCTTAAGTGGCTTAATTAATTGAAGAACAAGTAATTGTTCCATGACTGCTTTAGTGCTGGTTAGACGCTGTCAATATGCACTGAAAAGCATCACATACTTTTAATGAGTGCTAAATTAACTGGTAAAATGGAGTAATTAAGATCTAATCAACCAATCATTGTATTGAAGTCATGGCATCACCTCAAAAGAGTTCATCTCATCTCGCAGTTCATCATTGGCAATTCAAACACTAAAGTCAATCGGTACAAAAAGTTCATTATTGCTCATGATTGACCGGTGATCTATGAGACCAAAATATCCTTTTGTTTATTTACATTTCTTCCTGTGTAAGGACTTCTTCAGGGGACGGCCCTGAAACAATGACAAAGGCTTCATGAAAGAGCACTGATGCTCCCTGACAGGTGCTAATCTAAATAAATGTCAAGTTTCAGTCACTTTTCAAAGGGCAATTAATGCCCACATCACCTTTCCTTCAAGGCCACGTCTTTAACCAGACTGTCAAGATGTGAGAGAAAAAGAAAGAAAGAGTGAGAGAGAAGGGGAGGAAAAGGTCTCTCACCCCCCCACGTAACAGACTTATTAGAATTAAAACTAACGGATTTCTTTTTTTTATTTTGAAAAAAATGGACTTGGATACTTTATATAGTTGGATATTTAAACTTGTTCCAGATCCAGATCTTTTAAATTAAAATATAATACAAATGTAAAAATCAATCCAAAATGATGAATTAATACATGTTAAAAACCATGTCAAAGTAAATATCAGTTGTGAGCAGAATATTTCTATTGTGTGTCATTTCCAGTTAAGCAGTAATTATTGAAAAACATTATTTAATTGTGCATATTTTATATGCATAAAATATTGCAAAAATATGCAATTAGCCTTTTCAAGAGAAATTCTAATGTTTATATATGTAAAATGTTAGCTGAACCATAGATTGATCAACTGATTGGATGATTTACATCAAATTAAATAAATTACAGTGAGTGTGAAAAGAAAAGAGCATATTTTCTCATAGTTTAAGAAACAAGTTGTCTGGTGAAAGAGATATACAAGACACCACTGCATTGTCAGCAATTTTATTCAAGATGTGCTTTACATATATACACATTTACTTATATTATGTGCAAATAATATATATATATTTTTTTTCTTTTTTCTTTTTTTTTTTTCTTTAGAGATTGTGAAAGACAGCAGACAAACACAAATTCCTGAAATGTAATTTTAAGAGAAAGGTTATTTCAGAGATATTTCAGGAGAAATATCCTGCAATCACTGCATGAATAATACATAAGTTAAAGAAATTTTATATAGACATCTGGTTTTTCTGACACAATGGAAAAGTTCTGAATGTATCAAAACAAATTTTCAGAGTGGTTGAAAAAGCTTTATATCTATCAAACACCACCTACTCATCATATGGGAAAAACCTTCTCCAGACCAAAAGCGCAATATTCATAAATCCAAGACAACAAGCATTTGTTAAAATAAGTCAACCCTACTGGAAAGTCATGATGGCGCATTACACAAGGAGGTGCTGTTAATGCTAACATTTATTTCCTTTATTGAAATCCCACTCAGTGCAGTGTTAAGTACCACATGCTTAATAAAACTCATCCATCTGTTTCACATAAAGCCCAGGAGGCCCGTGCTGCAGTCATTTACCCATGGTGCATTGCCACTCTGTATAAATTACTCTTGCTATCTCAGGCTTCAAATGGTGGCTCAGAAGTATGTCATTCCAACAAAGCTGCAATTAATAAAGTGAAAAATTACAGTACATTGCAGATTTTTAAAAAGGAAATGAAGAAGAAGAGAAAAAAGAATTAGTGACTTAAAAGGATGTACTTTGGGAGTGGGGTATCTTATAAAGTGAAACAAAGAGGGATATACTTCTCTCTCCCCCCCCCCCTTAACTGAGACATGACGTTTAAAGAATCCCAATGATCCAACGAAAGTGGAAAACTCCTCCCAGACCAGGGTTATTATAGTTAACTAAAACTAGAACTAAAACTAAAATCATTAAATTACAAAATAATAATAATAATAATAATAATAATAATAATAATATATATATATATATATATATATATATATATCCCCCCCCCCCCCCCCTTAACTGAGACATGACGTTTAAAGAATCCCAATGATCCAACGAAAGTGGAAAACTCCTCCCAGACCAGGGTTATTATAGTTAACTAAAACTAGAACTAAAACTAAAATCATTAAATTACAAAATAATAATAATAATAATAATAATAATAATAAAAATATATATATATATATATATATATATATATATATATATATATATATATATATATATATATATAAACTATTATAACATAAAATATAAAAACTTTTTTTGAATATATTTAAAACACAGACCAGAAAAACTTTAACTAAAATTGAAATGAAAATGGAAATAAATAAAAAATATATATTTCCCCAAACTTTTAGAATTACATTAGATGGTAGATCATAACAGCATTTTCCGGTTAAAAGCAATGTTCATGCATAAGCTGCCAAACATCTGAACTAACCAAATTTAGATATTACGTGTGAGTGTGTTTATTTTAGTGAGAATTGCTTGCAAGTTAAGCTGTTAACAATTGAAAATCTCCAACATCTGAAAACTCGTTTTGTTGTTGATGTAATTCAACACTTCAAACGGGGGGTAGAATAAGACAAGCTAAGAAATGCAGATGAACGCTACTGATGTTCATTGTTTAATACCACTAACGCACAAGCTTTACACCTTATCAGACATATCATGGTGAAATAATTTGTTTTTTAAAACCTCCATGAAGCGCAGTGCTTCCGGTGGCTGAGATCGGCTGGGATGGCTGTCACTGACGAACGACTCAGAACTTATTTACTGCTGATAAACAGATGGTACTTCACAGACCTGTGAGTTGAAAAAAAGAAGAGAAACCCATCTGGATAAGAGGGAGGTGAGCGCAGATTAAATCTCGGTGCCGTCAAAGGCTTGCAGGAAGCTCTCGTGTAGCGTGACAACATCTTAATGAGTCTCCCATCTCTCGCGTTCACCCGCTCAAATATATCACGCCGATGCACCTGTGACCTCCTCATGTGCTTTTGAAGGTCATAAAAATACAAAACCCGTTAAAACAATCTGGAAGAGTGTTGAAACATCCCAGGTCTGCCTTTGAATCTGAAACAATGCACAATACATTAACTTCACATTGCATAATAACTGTTATTGCGCTCCAGTTATGTCAGTCATTTCACACACCGGATCCAATTCGTATGTCTTTTGAGTTTCTGTCTATGACAGATCCATTTCATGTACATTGTAAATCAGACTAAATGCAATCAAAAGCCCCTTGTGTAACAGATCAAGGCTTTTCCCATGGCCAAAGTGCGTAAGGACCTAAGTAATATAGGCTTTTAGAAGGTGGAAATATATGCATAGCAAGACGGAACTGGCTCTGACCCACTGAACGAGATACCGCCTCGTCTGCTTCAATAGATGCGATGCCATTATTATGCTTCTGTAGCCCCTTTTTGTTCTCTCAAGCGCTTTGAAAGAAACTGTCTGCCTTTCCCAACCTCTCAGCCTATTCACTGCTCTACCTTTCATTCCCCAAGAACATAATGAACATACAAAAGCCACAGAAGCAGCAGCTGAAATGATGAATAAAGCTATAACCCGTTTGTCTTGTGTAGGGAATCTCTCTATCTTTCTGCTGGCCGCATCTTCGTCTTCCATGCAGTATTTCACTTTCATTCCAGCTGGCTTTCTCACACCTTTTCCCAAGGGTTGTTTCACATAGCTTTAACTAAGTTGGAGTAAGTTGTAGATATGATTATGCATTATTACATGATTGCAATCTGGATGGTTATACGGGTTCGCGTTCCACTCAATCCCTGGAATATTATCCTAATTTCCCTTTTTTCCATATTTCTTATTACTTTTCTTTATGTCATTGTCATCCATATCTTGAATAAAACTGCCATTTTTAACCTCTCTGCTCTTTTCTCTCACTTTATGTGGCAGTTTCTCATTTAATGCTTAATTTTTTTGTGCTCAATGATTTCAGTACAGCACAAATTATGGTATAAAATAATTGTAAATCAACTCATCACGTCTATATTAACACCACGGCCCTTCATTATTTAGCCTTTTACATGTAAATGCTATTTCAAGATATTTTAAGATCTCATTGAAAATGTTATATTGTCTTTAATTGGAATTTTAATATATATATTTTAATGGCGGTAAGATATAATTTTTTCATTTAGGATTATAGAAATATAAAAGCCACTTTTACCCTTAGAATTTTTTCAGGATTAGTGTCAGATATTTATGAAAGCCCATTTATGCCAAGGGATTAAAAAAAATATATAATACGGTTGCGACTTATCTCACAGCAAAAACTGTTTACACCAAAGAACTGTGACATAAACGCAGAATTGCGAGATATAAACTCACAATTCAGAATTGCGAGATATAAAAGTCTTAATTTTGAGGGAAAAAGTCAAAATTGCGAGATGTAATGTCAGAATTAAATAAAATACAAAGTGACATTTTTATATCAACCAATTCTGACATTTCTTCTCAGAATTGTGAGTTTATATCTCACAACTAAGAGTTATAAACTTGCAATTGCGATTTATAAACCTCTCTCAATTCTGGCTTGCAGGTTTATATCATCCGATGACATAACCAAATAATTCACATTTGCACATGATTTCCATGTTCATCTCAGAAAAAATGTTTACACTACAGTCTGGGCCAAGTGAGATGGACATTAGTAACCGACTGGCAGAGCAGCTTGCTGGATCATGGCACATTGCCTTTGGCTCGGTATCCCACTGAGCTCAGAGGGGAGTCACAATGCCAGTCAGCCAGAACATCGCACACCCAGGAACACATCACAAATTCGCTCCCCTGGAATTC